ACCGCATTTCCCTCTACTGGAGGTAGACATATAGCTCCAACACCTCCCATGAGATGCAGATCATTGATATTGGGCTCTTGGACATCGTTGAGGTTGGCGATGTCGTCTTGGTGGCCTACCTGGCTACCGTTGCTACCATTAACACTCATGCTTTATGAAATATTTACACAACAACCAAAACAAAACTAAAAATTAGGTAAGTAGACTACCACTAAGAAGAACAAGAATTCTACTAATCTAAAAATTCTCAAATAACACCACTCCCCCAGCAACGGCACCATTTTGATGCTTATTGTGACCAACGACACTAACCTACGGTACGAGTGTCTAGGATCGTCGATAATATAGTAACCCAACCAAGGGTTGGGGTCGTGTCCCAAATGAGTGGTTTTGAGAATTTATAGAAAATAAAATTTAGTTCTAACTAGTCGTAGCTAAAGATATTAACGATTAAAAACATAGTAAATCAAGGAGGTGCCACAAAAGTGTCAATTAACAAATGGGGATTTTGTCACAAGTGTAATAAAAACAACAAAATTTAAAGGGGAGATCAAGTATAGGGAGAAGTTCTTGGGGTGTGACCGCAATATAAATTGATATAAATCGCTGAGTACATGCTTTCGATAGGAAATTTGTAAGTTAATAGTGACTAGGCTAAGCTTTAGATGGAAATAAGTTCCCTCTCGGGCAACTTACCCCGTTTCAAATGGGTTCCTCTCGAACACCCATTTGCTACATGAAGGCCAGCCTATGCCTTACCTCACTCACTCTCTCGAGCTGAGTGTTAGGATATGGGACTAGGGCTCACCCTCTCGGGCTGAACCTCATGTTGACCCACTCCTTAGGCCATCAGTCTAGCGGTCTTGGTTTTTGCGACCTCTCTCTCTCGAGCAAGCCGAAAACACATGAGTGGTTTTGTATTTGCAACTACAAACCCATTAAATTAAATCACAACCACTAGGTGAAATCACCATTAAAATACATCTAACTTATCAGCAAAAAAGACCCAACAATAATATCAACACATATTTGCTAAATCACACCCCAAGAATGGGGTTTTTTAGCCACATATCAAGAGATAGAAATTTATACCTAAATGAGTTTGCATTCAAATGGGTATGAAGATTTAAGTCTTGTTACATGCCAAGAATGAAGAATCCAAGAGACCCAACTCCAAATCTAGAAGATGAAACCCTCTTCTTCTTCAAGTCTCCAAAACCCTCCCACTTAGAGCAAAAAGTACTATTCTATATGGGAATTATAATAATTGTTCGAATCTCTCTAAAAATTAATAAAGAGTTTAGTATTTATAGACTTCAGAAAATAGTGCTGGCGGATTGCTCGGCGAGGTTAGTCGGAATCGCCGATTAACTCGGCGATTCACCCTTTGGTGTAGTTCGTCGCCATCTTGCGTCAACCTTCAACATCGTTGTGCTCTGTGTCATTGGGCGACATAGTACTGCTTCGCGTAACTGCTCGGCGATGCGCTGACTGCTCCCTTTTCCGCAGACTTGATCCTTTCCTTCAGGGCTCAGCATACTGGAACAAAGGGCGGAGTGCGTCCCTTCGGCGAATCGCCAAGCGTGCTTGGCGATGCTCAAGATTCAGCTTTTTCGTTCTTTTCAGCCTTTTTGTTCCTTTTTGCGCCTAAGTGTCCATGCTTCCACTAAAACTTCAAATACCTGAAACTTAAGTGTTTTCATCAGATATTTAGAATAAATAAGAATTTGAGGACACTATTTCTATTAAAATAAAGCCCTAAATGAGTCCAATTTGTGGACTCATCACTTACCCTCAAACATTTTTCATTATGGTATATCTGGACTTTAACCTGGTGTTTTGCCCTTTTGGTGCGATGGGACTTGAATCCACTGTCTTACCCTTAATCAACTATATAATAGACCAAGGTACAATATGACTCACCCTTTGAGTATTTCAAAATAATCAAAATAATATTCAAACTCATGCTACTAAAACTTAATACCTTCTTCTATTTAAGGAATTTTGTGGAGCATGTCATATTCAACTAGTAGTAGTATATGCCTTTGGTTCTGGTAAATGTTAGTGACCGAACACTATTGTATTCTAAATCATAAAAATATTCTAGAAAATACATACCTGATTTTATGCATATTATACCTTGATTCCAGTAGTTATCATTTTCCTTCTTGATTCTGATAACGAGATCAACCAAAACATGAGCTAAAGAAAAACTAAAACTCAATCTCAATTGACTAGAGTCTCGTGCTGATAATGTGTTGTAAAATATAAGTAATATACTACAAATAACAATATAGACAAAAGATATATATATANTAGAATGTAGAGGTCATCTTATTCAAATGTCTTCATGTCTCTCTATGTCTCTTTACAATGGTGAAAGAACAACCTTATTTATAGGTTGAGAAATCACTCCAAAAGTCACCATATTAAGTGTCATAATAAATAGATACATTCTTATCCAAAAAGGTTCATAGAACTTAGGGAATACACATAGATGATAAGTATAAGTTTATGGATAAACTCAATGGACAATCCACTTAATTAGTTCAATGGATTTATATCAGTTTTAAGTTATTATCTATTAAATTAATATAACTTAATGAAAAAATAATTTATTTTTATGAATTTTATTTTTAGTATCAAATCAACTAGAAAAAGAAAATATTAAAAAAATTATGCGGGGCGGGTTCTTGCGGGGGGGGGGGGGGTCTATGCGGGGAGGAGTGAGGTGAGTTGAAAATGAAAAAGGTAGTTATGCGGGGCGGGTTAAACAATTTGCAGATTAAGCTCAACCCGCCCCGCCCCATTGCCATCCCTTAATATTCTAGACCATTGTCATGTATTTTTTCGATTTCTCATGCGGTGTTTGGTATCCATATTGGAGTAAATGTTATCAGAAGAAAAAAGCACAAAGAAGCTCTAAGGTTCGTTGAGGCTTTAAGTCCAAAGTGCAAATAAAGTGTGAACTTTAATGAGGAAAAAAGTATAAAGGCTGACAAAATACAAATATATATGTTTAACCCAACACTAATTTATAAGCATGAATGACAAATAAATGAAAAATAAAATAAAAATAATCACGATAAAGTGAAAATATAAATTACTTAGTGTCATCTCTACCTAAGAGGTTCGTCGGCAAGGAAAAGTATGTCTTATAACCTTGATGATGACATTGAAGCGCACATTAAGCGAGGTGAAGCGCTAGCCTCACTTCAGGGCTTAAGCGCGCTTAAAACGTGCTTTTGATAACACTAATTAGGGCTTCAACTATTCTGGAGATGCATTAGGCTCATTATCGGGATATTACTCCCTTACAAGATTATTCACATACCAAAAACTCAAATCCGAGACCTCTAGTCCATCCTACCGTATAACTATAGAGTCAAGTCTTCTACACATTAGCCTCAATAAATTGTAAAACTTCAGATTTGTTCAAATTTAAGCTGATCTGTATAATTACATGATATATATCATATGATTAATTTAAATATTTGAGAACATGAGCAAATATTTTTCAAAATTTGAATTGAAAATGTCAATCAGCCCACCCATCTTATTTGACCAGCCAACATCTATGTTTTTCAATGAATGTGGTTTCATGGAATAGTTTTATTGATTAAATATTTTAATTTCTTTCTTAAATTTATATAATCAGCCGCCCCTCATGCATGTTAAATTGCGTGGGAAAAGACCAATTATCTTATTAAAGTTTCAACTTGCATTATATATTTCATCTGCAAGATAACTAACTTGGACTTTGGGACACATGCTTTGTTGGACAGCTCATACATTGCTATTTCTTAATCCTTCTGACCTGAAATAATGAGTCGGTATAACCTCTCTCGAGTTTAGCCATAAGAATACACTGAACTGTGTGATAGGGGGAAAACTAAGGATTTCGTGCTTGCAAGGATGAATTGTGGCCTGTGGAAGCAACAACTGATCTGTTGGAAAGTTCCTATATAAGTTGTCGGATTTTTTTTTTTCTTGGAATGCATAGTTCAAGTTGAGTTCCCTTTTATACCTTCCAAGACATCGAGAGGGTAGGTATAGTGGTGTGCATCGGTCGGTTCTATATATTATCAATTTGTTTAATCGGTCCGGTAAATTGGTCGGTTCGATTTTTGCAGACCCCTAGGTAGGTAGAGCACTTTCACTTTTTTAAGCTTTGATTTTTGGCATAAAACATAAAGGCATAATACATAGATATGTCCTTTAACTTTGCCTCAACTCATATTTTTGTTCTCCAACTTTGGGTGTGCACTCAACACTTAAACTTATATAAAGTTGAATAAATAGACATGACACGCGTCTTACGTGGCATCCTACATAACAATTTGATTTCTATGTGACATCCTATGCCACGTAGGACTCATGTGTCTACTTGGTTCAACTTTATACAAACTTAAGTGTCTACTTATGCACATCCAAAGTTAAATGACATAAATGTAAAACGAGGCTAAGTTAAAGGGCACATTTATGTATTATGTCAAACATAAATGTGCCCTTCAACTTGGCTTCAACTTGCATCTATGTCTTCCAAGTTTGGGTGTGCACAAGTAGACACTCAAACTTGTATAAAATAAAACAAATAGCCATATTCGTCTTACGTAGTGTCCTACATGACAATTTTGTGTCTTACGCATGACATTCTACATATAATATGCCACGCAGGATGAGTGCGTCTACTTGTTCAATTTAGACAATTTTAAGTGTCTACTTGTACATACCCAAAATTAGAGGACTTAGATGTCAACTAAAGCCAAATTAAAGAACATATTTATATGTTATGCCCTTGATTTTTCCATCCACTTGAAATGGTAAAAGGCACTTAAAAATTAATTAAGCACTTTTATATTCTTAATTAGATCACCTATTCTGAATAGTTTTCATACAAGTTGTTAGTGGTTAGCATAATATTTTAGTGAGAGTAGACATTTAAATATTGACCAAACTTGTGTATAAATTTTGATATTTGCTAGTGGTTTTTAGTGAAGCTAACAAGAAAAAAAAGTTCATTGAGACTGAGATGGCAGCAAAGTCCAGCCCAGTTCCTCTCCTTACTCCTTACAAAATGGGAAGTTTTGAGCTCTCTCATAGGTACTGTGTAAATGTAAATTTGTGAATTGTGTTACTAGAAAGTGCTTTGTTTTTGTGTGACTAAGAAATTGTATTATATGTTCAGAGTAGTGATGCCACCAATGACAAGGAACAGATCATACAATAATACTCCACAGCCACATGCTATTGAATATTATGCTCAAAGAGCTACTAAGGGAGGCTTTATCATTTCTGAATCAACTAGTGCCTCTGACATTTCCAATGGGTAATATCTCTCTCTCTCTTTTTTACTAAATGATATCTATTATTTGAGGGTCCGTAGTTCCATCTACGGGCTGTAGACATGGTCCGTGTAAATCAGGCTAATAGTCAAGTCTCAGTACTTTGATCTACGAGTCAATCTACGACCTGTCAACGGAACTCGTAGAAATCTGGCTGAATGCCAACTGTCTCTGAAATCATTCTACGGACACTATCTACGGTCCATGGTCCATTCCACGAGCCGTAAACACCATTAGTAAAAGTCGGAAGAATTTCACTAACTCTGAACCTGATCTATGAGCCTCATCTACGGTCCGTGGTTCCTTTTACGGCTCGTAGATGTGGTCCATAAAAAATCAGATTTTTCTGGAAATCTGCATGTTCTGAACTTAAAATATCTGGGGTATTACAAAAACCATCTATTTTCTGGTAAATACATTACAATATGTTTTTTCATACTTTCAATATTCAATTGTAGCTAGTCTTACACCTTCTAATCGACCTGAATTGCGTACTGATGATGATTCATAACTGTTAGTATATATGAGACTTATTTTAGTTATTGTTGTATTTGAAGGTCTCCAAATATGCCTGGAATTTGGACTAAAGATCAAACAGAGGCATGGAAGCCCATTGTTGACTCTGTTCATGGCAAAGGCGGTGTCTTTTTTTGTCAGCTTTGGCATCCAGGGCGACTATCCGATTCAACTCTCAACAATTTCATAATGTTTTGGAAAGCAGGTAATGTATTTAATATAATGCTAGCTAGATTCTCATGTTTGCGCTGATGGTAATTAGGCCTAGTCTCTTTATATGGACTTAAGCAATCCTTGTCTCTCGAGCTAGCTAGCTTTTATGGTTCCGTCTTAATGAGCTAATGTTGAACCATTTTCAGTTCTTGAGCTTATTTTTGTGATTGAGTTAAGTTCAAGATCCATTCTTTTGATATATCTTACTAATGGAATAACAATAATGCATGCTCTTGTATTTTGTTCTTTACGATGTGTAGTACCTGACGATGGTGAGTACTTCAAACCAACACCAAAGCAACTAAAAGCTAATGAACTCCCTCTCATTGTCAACAATTTTAGAATTGCAGCCCGCAATGCCATTGAAGCTGGTAATAACTTATCTATTGATTTAACACAACTTCACCACATTGCACAACTTTTACTTGATAACATGTTGTTGTTCCTCAAAATGAAGGATTTGATGGAGTCGAGATCAACTCTGCAAACAGCTACATAATCGATCAGTTCTTGAATGATCAAGTCAACGACAGAACCGATGAATATGGTGGAAGCATTGAGAACCGTTGTAGACTTGCTCTAGAAATTATAGGAGCAGTTGTGGAAGAAATTGGAGCAGACAGAGTTGGCATAAAACTCTCTCTATTTTCTGAAGTGTATGGAAAAAAAGACTCGAACCCAGAATTTCTATCGACTTATTTGGCTAGCGAACTCACTAAGCTTGGAGTTTTATATCTACATGTGTTTGAGCCAAAGGACGAACCTCGTTGCCTAAAATCAATAAGGAGTGCATTTGAAGGGACACTTATTGCTTCTGGTGGATACAATAAAACTGATGGAGATGAAGCAATTACTGAAAGTTATGCTGATTTGGTTTCATTTGGACGTTTGTTTTTGGCAAATCCTGATTTGCCTAAACGTTTTGAAGCGAATGCACCGTTGAACAAACATGATAGGAGCACTTTCTATAAGACTGATCCTGTAGTTGGTTACACTGATTACCCGTCTCTTGAAATTGCTTGTTAATTTGGTTATAATCTTTGTGAAAAACTATGTTTTGCTCGGACTCTTAAAAAATGTCGACAGGGGACTATTGGATCCTCTAAAATTAGTGCAGTCCGAGCAACGTAGATGAACAATAATGTTGTTTGCTTCTAGTTGATAAAAAGGGGGTATTGTTTTCGAAATAATAATAGGAAACTTACTTTGTATTGATGTATTCAAGAAGGAAGTTATGTACTTGTATGTACCTCTAATATTTGTTTATAGTCTTGATCATTGTCTAGCATTTATTTTTTGTTTTTTCATATATCCAGTGTTTGAACCCGAGACCTCAAATGGAGGGATCCTATTCATCCATATCGTATTTTCCTAATGAAGTATTCAGAGCACAAGTGGTAGGCAATCACTCTTTTATTTTCCCAATTTATATAAACCAGCTCTTCTCACTTCCATTTTATTTCACTTTTCTTCCCTATACTATGCTTCACTTTTTCTTGGTGTATTTGCATAAAGATTCAATCTTTTTGGTGTTTCGATTAATGGGTTGCTCCGTTTCTCGTTCCTATCATGACTTTGGTACCAGAAATGTATCAAACTCACATTCAGCTCCAGTTTCAACAACACTCTTCCTACCGACACCTCTAATTCACCATCCACCTCTTTGTAAAGGGGACACCAATCACTTAGTTTCACTCACTTCCTCTACCTATGGATCGCTTGATCATCGAGTTCTAGACAACCCCACCACATCTGAGGATGACCCTTTATCTCCTGATGCAACAATCAACACTTGGGAGCTAATGGAAGGCCTTGATGACATAGATTTTCGTATGGTTTCGTCCCCTGTATATGATATTCAGAAAGAATTGGTGAAGTCTAATGAGCACCCGAGTACGAAGCCATTATGGAAGCATTTGTCTGAGGAATCATTGTTGGCGAAAATGGATCCTAATGTAGCTTTAAGTTATAGAAAAGCATTGTACTCTTCCAAACAATATAAGCATGATCAGGATGATAGTTCAAGTTGTTTGAGCTCATTTTCGCGTAATACTGATCACATCTACTTAAAAGGTACTGAAGATAAGATTGTAGTGTATTTTACTAGTCTGAGGGGAATCAGGAAGACTTATGAAGATTGTTGTTCCGTGCGTATGATCTTTAAAGGGGTTCGTGTATGTGTAGACGAAAGGGATATCTCTATGGATTCATCGTATAGAAAAGAGTTACAAGATGTGTTACAAGGTAAAACACTAAACTTGCCTCGGGTGTTTATAAGAGGGAAGTACATTGGTGGTTTAGAAGAGATTAAACAACTTCATGATACCGGAGAATTGGCTAAGCTTTTAGAAGGGTTCGCGGTTATGAATGATGGATTCACTTGTGAAAGTTGTGGTGAGGTGAGGTTTGTACCATGTCCTAGTTGCAACGGAAGCCAGAAATTGTTCGAAGAGGAGGAAGGGAAGTCGAGGAGGTGTCCACATTGCAACGAAAATGGATTGATTCGTTGCCCCGGGTGCTGCCCTTGAATGCAGCTAGCTCTGGGATTGATCACTTAGGGTTCTTTGTTCTTGTTATTACAAGTATATTTGTACATGGATATGTCTAGGTGCAAAAAGTATATTGTATACACTTGCAGTAAGTTATGTACTCTCAAGTTATGTCGCTCGGATACTTCAATAATAGTACGTGTTGAATCCTTCAAATTTCAAAATAGTATATTTTTGAAGGATCCGACACGAGTATGATAACTTGTCTACATCATTTATTGTCGGTGGCTACTAATCTTGCCTTACTATGGAACCAAGTGGCAAATGCAAAAATGCCAAAATTCAAGAGAAATATTTAGTTATGGCCCCATTTCTTAATAATAATGATAAGGATGTTAGATAAGACAGTTGCAATACATTGGAGCTGTATATTAATTAATCACCAGAAATTTTGGCTGGTTATCTGTTTCTGCCATAATTGTTTAGTAAATGATTTTTTTAAATTTAGATAATGGTTTAAAGATGCATTTTGAGTAAATTGATGAAAATGTCATGAGCAAACATTACTCCAACAGTTAAATTTTTTGTAAAATGTTAAATGATTATTTAATGTTTTATCAATCTCAAAGAGCTATATTTGCACAACTACTAAACAATGGGAAAAATTCTAAATAATGGCCTAACAAGAAATATTTGCATAAATCAACCTTTAATAAGTTGTCTCGAGTCATAAAGAGGATATTGATATATTTATTAGTAATTTAATTATTTGATATTCTGTATTCACTTACTTGACTATTTTGAATCTACCGCGTAGGGCCCGATCCATTAAAGGAAAAGTTGGCCGGCTCAAGTATATTTGTAGCCTAAAGCCGAAATCAAATGGAGGCCTTAAACTTTATTTCATGGAAAAATTACATAAGTGAAGGTCTTTTATTTAATAATTACCACTTTTAAGTATACTTTTAATATATTACCATTTTTGTCAACTTTTGGCAATACTTACTTAAAACAATTTTGTTCCTTTAAACTTAGCAAAAAATGTTGTCATTCGCAACTTTTAGCAATATTGTCATTTAGCCAAATTGTTATACATGGTTAAAAGAATAATGTTGACAAATGTCATAAATATTTTTTAAAAATTATACACGTAAGTGATTTTCCCTTTTTTCATTTATTTTTATGAAGTTTATTATAGCCAGTTCAATTAAGACATAGTATTCTAGATGTGACAAACTTCTTCTAATAATTCTTTTGAAAAGTTCACATTTTCTACAAATAATACTCAATATTTTTTTAAGAAAATACCTACAACTTATTATTGCTAAAGAAAATGAGTGCCCTTAAATTTGAGAACTAATGCACTTGTTTTTTTTTTTCTAAGCATGTAGAGTCGATCCTGAGTTCTTCCTACCAAAAATTTCTCCATTTCCACAAGGACTCATTAATTATAAATGAAGAAATCCTATTCATTTTACCACATATCGTTAATAATATGAGGATGTCATTAACATAATACATAATGTTTAGGAGTTCCAATACTATTACACTGTACACCATTTAACGAAAGGCATGATCATAATCATCGATATGGGATTTACGATTCTCACCCCTAATGTATGCTCTCTTTTGTGACTTACACCGTATTTTATTATTTTTAATAATTTACACTGCCTAATCTTTTTAGTCTACAAGGATAAATTAATAGAAAAAATAGCATGTTAGTATATTTGTTAGAATTTTAAAATATAATAATTAATAGTTAAATTACTTTCTACCAATAACATATTTGATTGTTCTAGTCTTTCTTTTTTAATACACGTATAAAGCCATAAAAATAAAGATTAAAACAAACACTTCCATCTACTTACAAACAAAAACCCTACAAAAAAGAAAGAAAAAAGAGGAGCCCACAAAAAATCTGAATTTGATTTTAATAACTTATATAAATCAGAAGAAAAAAAAGTGTAATGAGTTGATGGAGTAGCAGCAATAACTAGTTAAACACCACAAATACCAATTGGTTGAAAGAAATAATTGTTTGATCAAAATAAAAGAGATTTATCTTCAAGCATTAATGGTGTCCCCTCCAGAGAGTTTAATGTTGAGACTAATGGTGTGTTTGGTATGGAGGAAAACATTTTTTGGAAAAAGTTTTCCATTTTTATCATGTTTGGTTGGCTTAAATGTTTCGAAAATATTTTCCAAATCAACTCATTTTCCTCAAATTTAAGGAAAATTACTTCCCTTCCAAAATTAAGGAAAACATTTTCCAAAACTCTACTTCATCCTTTAATTTTTTTATTACCCTCCTCATACCCCGCACCTGACCACATTAAAAAAAATTAATTTTTTTTAAATTTTCTCATTTTTATCCCTAAAAACAAAAAATTAAAAAATTAAAAAATATTTTTGAAATATATTTTTTTTACCTCACCCAACCCATATCGCCACCCCTGCTCCCCCCCCCCCCCCCCCAAAATTGCTTTAGAAAAATATTATAAAATATATGATTTTAAACTTTTACGCCACTCCCCAACCAAACCAGGCCAACCCCTCCCACGCCAGCCCGTCAATTTGTTTTTTAAAAAAATATTTTTAACGCCACCCTCACCCCTACCCACCCCATACCCCTCTCCCGCCACCCCGCCAACTTTTTTGAAGAAAAAATTATTTTTGGGAAATATTTCAAATTTTTTAAAAAAATTATTTTTACGCCACCCTCATTTAACACCTCGTATCCGAAAACAGACCAAACGAGCAGATTTCTAGAAATTGCAGGTGCAACCCACGGTTGCCACCCACGAACCGTAGGGTGACTCACGGCCCATCCTAGTGGTCAGTGGATGGCCACTTGCAACCCTCCCCAGAAAATCAGACAAAAACTATTCTAAGGCATGACCCACGACCAGACCCATAGACAATAGGTCAGACCACAAACCATGGTATAAGTCAGTGAATCGAGGCCTCAAAACCTGGTCTCTAAAGTCGATTGACGGACTAACAAGATGGATCGTGGATCAGTCCACGGACCATCGATCAGTCCGTAGGTCGAGACCCTCAGGACCCCTCAGAACTTGGTCTCTGAAGTCGATTGACGGACTGACAGGACGGATCGTAGATCAGTCCACGAACCATCAATCTGTCCGTAGGTCGAGACCTTCAGGAACCCAGAACCCATTCTCTGAAGTCGATCGACGGACTGACAGAATGGACCGTGGGTCAGTCCATGGGCCGTCAATCAGTCCCGTCGGTGGCTTTAGCAGCTTTTAAGTCAGGGGTCGTTTGGTCAGGAATTCATGAATTTGAGGCAATGTAACATGACAGTCCAAGAGTACGGACTCAAGTTCACCCAACTCTCCAGGTATGCTCCTCACATGGTTGCCAATTCCAGGGCTCAAATGAACATGTTTCTTTATGGGGTATCCAACTTAGTGAAAACAAAATGTAGAAATGCTATGTTGCTAGAAAATATGAACATCTCTAGGCTCATGACTCATGCTCAGCAGGTTGAGGGAGATAAGCTTAGGGAACACACTAAGGATAATAAAAAGGCTAGAACAGACAACTATGAGTATTCTCAACAGAAATCGGGTGGTGGAAATCGCTCGCAGTTTCAGCCAAAGTCTTCAGATCCAACACCTTCATCACCTAGTGTTCCATCTTCCAAGTTTCGACAGGATTAGTAAGGTAGGGAATCAGGCTCTAAGTCTCAGGGGAGTGTTTCAGGCACCAAAACCTACCTAACTTATCCAAAGTGTGGTAAGAACCATCGGGGAGAGTGTCTTGCAGGAAAGGAACAATGTTTTAGGTGTGGACCAAACTCGGGGAGAGTGTCTTGCAGGAAAGGAACAATGTTTTAGGTGTGGTCAGTTTGGTCACAGGTTGAGAGATTGTCCTTCTACTAAACAGGGTCAAGGAGGCAACAATAGTAGGGCTCAGTCCACAACATCAGCAACACCAACAGGTCACTCGACTCAACAGGTAACTCATCTGGTACAGGTGGCGGACAACGCCAAAACATGTTGTATGATCTTCAGGCTCGCCAGGATCAGGAAGATTCTCCTGATGTGATTACTGGTACGTTTCGAGTTTTTAACTTAGATGTTTATGCTTTGTTAGATCCAGGGGATGCTCTTTCCTTTGTAACTCCCTATATAGTAGTAAACTTCATTGTTAGTCTAAAAACTCTCTCAGAACCCTTCTCAGTCTCTACTCCAGTCGGTGACCTAGTTATAGCTAGACGGGTATACAGAAATTGCCCTGTCACAATTTATCAGAAAGTCACCTTAGCAGATCTTGTAGAGTTAGAAATGGTAGACTTTGATGTCATCCTAGGCATGGATTAATTACATTCCTTTTATGTCTCAGTCGATTGTAGAACTAGGATCGTTCGTTTTCAATTTCGAGACGAAACAATCTTAGAATGGAAGGGTAGTAGCTTAGTGCCTATGGTTCGATTTATTTCTTACCTTAAGGCCAGAAAGATGATCTCTAAGGGGTATCTTTATCATCTAGTTCGGGTTAAGGATTCAACCTCCGAAACCCCAACTCTTGAGTCAGTTCCTGTAGTTAACGAGTTCCAGAAGTGTTTACAGAAGATCTTCTCAGAGTTCCTCCTGAAAGGGAAATCGACTTTGGAACTATTCATCCTTACAAAATGGCTCCAACTGAGCTTAAGCAATTGAAAAAGCAGTTGAAAGACCTTCTAGATAAGGGCTTCATCAGACCCAGTATTTCCTCATAGGGTGCACCAGTGTTGTTCGTGAAGAAAAAAGATGGTTCTCTCAGGATATGCACTGACTATAGGCAGTTGAACAAAGTCACAATCAAGAATAAGTATCCCATCCCCAGGGTTGATGACTTGTTTCACCAACTTCAGGGTGCTAGTCATTTCTCAAAGATAAACCTCAAATCCGGTTATCATCAACTCAGAGTTAGAGATAGTGACATTCCGAAAATAACCTTCAAAACTCGGTATGGTCATTATGAATTTGTAGTTATGTCATTTGGACTAACCAATACTCCTGAATCTTTCATGGATTTGATGAACAAAGTGTTCAAGTAGTATTTGGACTTGTTCGTTATCGTTTTTATTGATGATATCCTTATTTACTCTAGGAATGAGGAAGAACATGCGACTCATTTGAGGGTTGTCCTACAAACTCTCAAAGATCACCAGTTATTCTCTAAGTTTAGCAAATGTGAGTTTTGGTTGCAATCAGTTGCTTTTCTTGGGCATATTGTGTTTAGCAAAGGGATTCGAGTAGATTCTCAGAAAATAGAAGCAGAGAAACAATGGCCCAGACCTTCCTCTCCTTCAGATATCAGAAGTTTCTTGGGTTTGGCTTGTGACTACAGAAGGTTCGTGGAAGGATTTTCATCCATAGCTTCTCCATTGACTAAGTTG